GGGGGTGTATTTGTATTTGTTGCTTGGGATGGAGGCGTGAGATTTGCTGTCGACGAGGCGGGAGTCATTGTCGAAGATGGAGGTGTCGTCGACGCCGAAGACGGTGGTGAAGCGCGGGGTGTTGATCTGGGTGGTGGTGGGGCCGCGGCGGATGGTGTACTGGACTCGGTAGAAGGGGAGTTCGCGGCGGAGGAAGTGGAAGAGCTCGCGGGCGGTAGTTGAGGGTATAAAAGGTTGGTAGTAGAGCAGATCCAGATGCGGCTGGTTGGTGATGCTGCGAGATGTGGTGGCTGGGAGATCCGGGAACGCGTTGGCGATGGACGGGGGGAGATCCGCAATGGGGAAGGGATAGCTGGGATGGCGGGAGTAGGACGATGGAGGAGGAAGAGGGTCCTCAATGCGCGGTTTCTTGGGTTTGCTGATGGGCTTGTAGAAGGATTCAAGTGTCCTTTTCGCCATTGTTCATCTGGAGAATGAAGATTGGAGATGATCAAGAAGAGGTGAGGGGATGATGTCATGTAGGAGACAGATCAGATAACCCTAATTCTGCCCATCACTGTCCAACAACTAAGGCTAGTTAATTCTGGCATATAAGAAAGCCTTGCAGGGCGGATGAGTGAAGTAGTTGGTTAGATATGGATGTGGACTGAGCGCCTACTATAATCCTCCAGCTGAGGCACTTCGGTGCACCTATCTCGAATCTCACAGACACAGACTCTATCTTGCTGCAACTAGGCAATAAAGAACCTGTCGAAACACCCGGTGCGTTAATGGTCAATGGTCGATCATTCTAGACATCTTATAATGGATGTATAGATCCACACTGCTAGTAACAGCAGTAAATTACTCCAGGGGTTTAGGGCAGATGCCAAAGGCTTTATAGTGACTGCGTGTGATGCCGTAGACTAATGGGATGCCTTCAGCAGTCAGCCCTTTGAATCTTCTGTTCTACGGCAAATCTGGCTCCTGAAGCTGGATACAGTGGATTCAGACTTGCTTTTCTTGCATTTATGTCTATACCAGCTGTTAGACACCTATAAAAGTACGCAAGGAGGAAAATGACGAGAATGGTCAATTATCCGGCCAAACCACTTTGGGTAATTTTGAGAAGCCCCAGCCAGGCAATGGCCGGTCAGAGAGTTTCTCGTTGACCTCATGGAACTCCTCCCAGATTTCCTTCAGGGTGACCTTTTTAGTCGACATCAGGTCATAAAATTTGTTGAACAGTTGAGCCCACATAACCTTAACACGCCCGTCATAGCCATCAGCATCTGGACCCAGTAATGACCAGTCAGGATCAATAGCCCAAGCCCAAGCATATCTATCTTCTCGCAGATAGGTATCCCGACATTCCGTGGGCATAGTGATAAATACATTCGCAAGAACGCCTGGTTTTAGCCTGCCTTTACCTCGACGGTCGAGAAAGTCCCTAGATAGACAACTCAGCAAGTACCAACAGTCATCTGTGAGAGTAACATACTTTCGAAGCTGATCCACTCCGCCCATTTCAGGTTCATAATCGACGAAATCAATGATCTTGGAATCTTGGATTTCTTCGCCGCCAATAACCATGAACGGGTGATCACTCGAAAGTTTATCAAAGTAGTCCCAACACGCCTTCCATGCTTCCTTGGTACCTTCTTCCTCTTGAATGATTGATGGACGGTAGATCACATACCCCCAGGCTTTGCCCTCACGGTTGAGGATTCTCTGCACCCAATCCGGCGGATGAGTCCTGGATCTCTCTGCAGCTTCACAAAGAGGCTCTGCGTGAGCTTCAAGCTTCGCAAGATAGACGTCAGGTTGTCTGATGTTTTTAAGGGCCTTGAGTTCATCCGGTGATAAAACAGCAGCCCGCGCCTGCTGCCACTTGTTCCATAAGTCCTGACGCTCGATCATGCGTTTCCTTCGGTCATTACTGTATTTAACAGCATCAAGAGCCCCAAATATATGAAACTCATCTTTAATCAAGCAGCATTCCGGATACGTTAGAGCGAGAGGATCATTGGCCGCTGTGTGAATGAGATCTTGCAAAGACTCGCCAACGTATTTTTGGCTTGTCTCCTCCATTTGTTCCAAGGAGGGCCATTCCATTATAGCATGTTTCTCTTTTTGAGTTATCTCAGATGGTGAATGAATTGCTTTGTCGTAAAGGCTCTCCATAGAGGCCCATGCTTTGATATCATCGGATGGCTCGGCCATGATGATTGAGGTCTCTGTACTTGTTGGTTGCTGGTTGCTTCCTGGCAAGCAGGGTTACAAAGGCGGATGCCTCCTTTTAAGGTGGAATCAAATCACCACTAAACTGAAACAGGTACTCGTACTTTAAAAGACAACAATTGGCTATACTTGGTTGTCTCCCTCTTATCTGTTATCATAGCCCTCATAATGTGCGTGCACTAGATATCTGCTGCTTACCATACTGCTTCGCTCTGCAGGCCTATGCAGTTGCAACCTTCTAGTCATATCTTGTGTCAGAGACTCTAGAAGTCAAATAAACAGAGTTACTTCTCCTTAGGTGATTCGCATAGACAACAGGGTATGGAACCTTTAGGGCTAGACCTATTCACATCTGTCAATATTATGGAAATCAGGACACCATACCAAGATCGTTGACCTTATATATCTGGGACATCCAGACAGGCTTTGCTTGCGACAGCAACATTATCACTGTTTCTGATTTAGTAGAGCTTCCACAAGACAATGGCAATACTTACAAGCTATCCAAGTGCAGAAAACATGGAGAAACTAATGAATTAGCAATCTGGCCAGACAGGCCGATCAAGCTCAGTGAAAAGCCATGCCGGAGTCAGTCCATCACAGAATTGCTGATTCATCTGATTGAAATCCCGCCATATATCCTTCATCTTCCCAGACCTCCATCGCGTGCTTGTTCTCAGGGAGGATTCTGGGGTGGTAGATTACATAACCCCACGCCTTGTCCTCTCTTTCCAGTATTTTCTTCACCCATTCAGGGGGAACAGTTCTCGCTTTCTGCCGTGCTTCTCTATTTGCTGCGTAGTGCGTCTCTTGCATGGTGTGATACTTCTCTGGGCTTGCCATGTTCCTCATAGCCTGCTGCTCTTCTTGGGATAGCACTGCAGCACAGGCTGCCTTCCACTTCTCTTCCAGGTCTGGACGCCTTGCCCGTCCTATTTTCCTCGTGTGGTAGTCGACACTTTCCATCCGTTTCAAAACACGAAAGTCATCATGGGCCAGGCGACATTCAGCGAAGTAAGAGCTGTTGGATTGGTGATTGCTTTCTGGAATAGCTCCTCCATGGATTTGCTAAGGTACTTTTGCGTATTTTCCTGCATTTCTTCCCACGTCGGCCACCCCAGGACCTTGTGTTTTTCTTCCTGGGTGATCTCCGCTGGAGACTGGATCGCCTTGTCCCATAAACTTTCCATTGCAGCCCATTCTTCAAATTTCCGCGTGCGTCGCTCGGCCATTGTCTCCGCCATGGTGGTCGTATATGTGTTGGTATGTGTTGGGGAAGTGATTGTGTTATTGCTGAGTGCAGGAGACTTTAAGAACTCAGTCATCAGTAGCCAAGTCCTCGACAAGCCAAGCACCCCGCTGCTTTAGGGTGCTTTGTGGGCCCATCCTTGTCC